ACCGGAGCATCATCATCCTCCCCGAGACCGCGTCGCGCCCGGCACCGCTGCTCAGAGCGGGGTTGGGGACTGCCTTCCCTGGAGGGGTCGAGACCGGGGCCGGGGGCAGCTGTCACAGCGAGACTGGATCCGTCTGTTTTCTCTTCCCCCACTAACGCGCCCCATATATTTTGCAGAGGACCCCGGTTTCCCACAAAGTGATTGAGAAGCGGAGGAGGGACCGCATCAACCGCTGCCTCACCGAGCTAGGGAAGACGGTGCCCATGGCTCTGGCCAAGCAGGTAGGCGGGGGGGAGCAGCCCCTACGCCCTTTTCTCCCCGGTGCGCCGCGATATCCCCCCCGATACGGCGGGGCTAGAGGGCAGCCCAGTGGAACGCAGAGCAGTCTCAGGGGAGAGGTGATGCCCACCTGCCCTGCCCATTGCAGAGCTCGGGGAAGCTGGAGAAAGCGGAGATCCTGGAGATGACGGTGCAGTACCTGCGGGCCCTGCACTCGGCGGACTTTCCCCGCGGCCGGGAGAAGGGTAGGTGGGCGGGAGTGACCTCCCGCGGCCCCCGCCGGCTCACTCGGGGTGTGGAGGCGGCTTTCCCCGCTCCTCTCCCGGCCAGACCCTGAGGAGCTCGATTCCCTTCCCTTTCCTTTCCAGCAGAGCTGCTCTCCGAGTTCGCCAATTACTTCCACTACGGCTACCACGAGTGCATGAAGAACCTGGTCCACTACCTGACAACGGTGGAGAGGATGGAGACCAAAGACACCAAGTACGCCCGCATCCTGGCCTTTCTCCAGTCCAAAGCACGCTTCGTTACTGAGCCTCTCTTCACGTCCCTGGGCTCCCTCCCGGAGCCGGACTTTTCCTACCCGCTGCATCCTGGGCCCGATTGCCCAGGGCACGTCCACAGTCCCGCCGAGGGCGTGCTCCAGCCGCCCTCGGGGGGGCCATTCCCCTGGCACGGCGCCGCCCGCAACCCTGCCCTGCCCTACCACTTGCCCAGCGCCGCCGTACCCCTCGCCAGCCCCGGCCAGCAGCGCAGCACTTTCCTCTCATCCGTGCAGGGGCTGGACCGCCACTACCTCAACCTCCTCGGCCATTCCCACCCCAACGCGTTCGGGCTGCCCCCAGGCCAGCACCCCTCCATGCTATAGAGACTCGTCCCGCCTGAAAGAACACCTATTTATGACCGCGGACACTGCGGGTTACACCCGGGCGCACGGGGAGGCTGCCGGGGGCAGGGAGNAGGGCCGCGGAGAGGAAAGCTAACAATGCTGTGAAAATATGTTTGCAGAAAATAGACAATTGTTGGATTAAACGTATTCAAGTATGAAATAATGCCTTTTTGTGTAAAAAACCTCAGCAATGTGAGCGTACAAAAGTTCCCCTGTGGCAGTTACTTGCTCCCTTTGTGAGCTTTGCGCTCCGGCGTCTCCACTTGGCGCGTTTAACTCGGAGCCCCCCTTTAAACGCGATTGTTTCTTTCTTTTTAATGACATTTACCGGATCAAAACATGCTGTTAATTCGATCAGAAAGCTTTACCCTCCTTAACAATGCCACAATAATTTCTCCTGAAGTTTGTTAAATTGACCAAAATTAGGCAAATGAATAGGGGGTCTGTCGGCGATCCCGCTCGCAGGTGACACCGAATAATGCACTCTCGGACCAGCTGCGATCCCCTCTTTATTTGCCCCTCTTTTCTTTGACCCGCATTATTAAAATTTAGGCCCAATGAAACTATTCATACTTTTCAATGGGACATTTTCCTATAGGATAATAGGCTACAAATTGAGCCTCTCCAAAGGAGAGGGGGAGAGCAGGGGGGGTAAAACAACAACGCACAGACGCGCACACCACACAAAAAAGGAGCGTCGTGTGCCAAAGGCTGGCGAGAGCCTCCCCGGGCCGACGGAAAAAGAAAAGGGGGGGGGTTATGGGGGGGGATATCGTGTGCCAGCCCCCCGGTCCCACACCTGCCGGGGTGTCCCCGGCGCATAAAGCGGTGTAAACAAAAAAATCCTCGCTGCCATCTCTTATAAAGATGGACGTGTCACCAAGTCGTGTGAGAAAAGCCTGAGAACAAACGGGGCCACTCCGTCTCCAAGGGTTCTCCCTTGAACTGGGCGGAACAGCCTATTAAGGGCTTACTTAATTACTTTAATGACTCTGGACAGGCTTTAAAATGCAGTCAGCTCCGGGGCTAAGGGGAGGGGTAGGGGGTGCCGGGGATTTGAAGACTGGCGGCGGGGACGGGGCCGGGGATG